CCCCAAAACCCCAAAACCCCAAAACCCCAATCCCTAAATATTGAGAATTAATATCAGTGTGAATGTTTTAGAGTTTTGAAGTTATAAAATAAAGAAAATAAAGTTCAAAAATCATACCTGGTTTATCCAGACTAAATCCTTTCATATTCTTCAGCTTCGTATTTTTAGATAAACAGGTTGATATCTATATATTATCCACCTCTATCTCTGACTAATAGCTGCTAGCTAACTTATGGCTCGAAATCTTCGTTATCTATAAATGGATTTGAAATTTCTGATACATTTTCCATCTTTACATAAATTTTTCTTGTTCCATATTCGTAGTAATTATCAGATATCTTGGTGATAGGCACTGGTGAATTCTCACTAATTTACTCCATTATCTCATCAACCTTATTTTCCCTGATCTTATCAATGAGTACCTCCTTAATAACTTTCTTGTCTCTGCCAGTCAATATTTCCAGCTCCTCTATCTATTAATCCTTCCTCCTTTACTCAGCTTCTAACTCTTTTTTCTAAAATTTTTTATCATAAACTATTTTCTTAAGAAAATCGAGAGTATCTTCGAGTTTATTATTTTGAAGGTCATAATTCTCATAAAATTCCTTTAAGTCAAAGTCATTTAATAGACCTGGCATTTATTAATCTATTTACTTTTCTAAATGCTTTATTTGAGTCTCTAAGTCATTGATCTCTTGCTATTTAATGAGGATTTCTTCTAGTCTCTTATCATTTATTGGTTTCATCTCCTCATTTATAAGTCTTAATTATTGATTGTCATTCTAAATTTATTCATCTAAGTTTTATGAATGGATTTCTTCCTTCTATAGTAGATCCTTTATTGTCGTTAACATGTTATTGATGTGTTCCTGATTTTCAATACTGTATATTTCATTGGAGCTTTAATTTTACTCAGTTTCATGAGTCTAAATATCTAGCTACTTTCTTTACTAATCCTCTTAAAATTACTTGATTTATTCCATTCCATATAAGCCATCAAAGGTGTAACTGAGATAACTTGGATCTTCAATCATAGTGTGGTAAGGACCTTCAAAATATTAATCTAATTTATCATCTATCGAAGGTACTAAATTTTTGCATTCATCAAATTCTCTTCCAATCTTTCGAGTAGAAAGCATCTCTTCATTTTATTCTTTTAATGGTTTTTGTTCAGATTTCAATTATTGTGATTCTTATTCTAGTTATTATATTAGGCTTTGTTTTTGTTAGTTTACCTCTTTTGACTAATCTAATATCTAGTTAAACTTTGATTTATGAGAGTTTGATAAGTTTTAAATACTCTGAATTTCTTCTAATGCTATATTGATCTCACTTTGATAACCTTATTAAAACATTGACTGAGACTTTTTCTCCTTTAACAACTCCTATTCGTGCTTTTATTCTTTGGCTAACTCAGATTGAAGAATAAGCAACTCCTAATCTAAATTATCTTACAGACCTGCAATTTCAGAAATCTGCTTAATATGCTCATTAGAAGAAAATACATACATCTATAAATACTCCTCTTCTCTCTTAACACCCAACTAATTTTAGACAATCTGTTCTTAAATTGATGCTACTACTTAATCTATTTCACTTAAATCCATCAAATTTGTTTAGCCGTTCTATTCATATATAAATTCTATTTCTTTTAATTTTTCTCTTTAGAATTCTTGTGTTTTTAGTTATAGTTCTCCATTTTAGGTTAGATTTTGTGATTCTAAAAGTTTAATCTAAAGTTTAAGCTTATTTGCTAATGCTTCAGTACTTTACTTGGATTTTACTAAGAAAGGTATTTCTGAATAACATCTAAATTCAAGAAGCTTTGTATCGTGATCAATTAAATTTTCAATCTAAATCAGTACATCTTCTATCTCTTTATTCTTATCTTAATCTTGCTAATTCAAATTACTGATCAGCTCATCAAGATTACTATCTAATCTACTCTTATCTTCAAATAATTGCTGTGATTCATAATTATTCATTGACTTATCTATAGGCTATTGAGAAATTATTGAAGGGTTTATGAGAGATGAATTTGCACTTCCTAAGGAAATTCCTAAGCCTTAGCCTTATTTTTACTTTTTCTTCACTTATATTTATTTCCCTATTCCATCTTATCCTTTTTTAAGATCTTATCGTCTTTCCACAAAATATACACTTTTTACATAATTATTCTCAGTCTCAGTGATCTATTCTAAATAGGGTGTGAAAGTATTAGCATCAACTCTTATTTTCCTTTCAATTTCGTAATATTCTCCACAAATATCATAGGGAAACATTATCTTCTACTGATTAATCTGTTGAGTAAGTTGTGATGACAGCAACTAATCAGAATCTTATGAGCAATTCTAAGGAAGCAAGGTAGTGTTTTAGTTAGCTTAAGAGATATCCAAAGTGTCCTCAAACTGCTATTCTAAATTCTTGTTCAAATTTTAAGAATTTTTGAGAGGCTTAGTTGGAGCAAACTTATTTAAAGGTTGCTTATAATTTTTCAGTTCTGAACCAGGTCTGGTATAATTGGAACTTCCCTTTGAAACATTATGCTAGCTATTGTTATTTAATCTGCTAGCAGAGATATTTCTTGATAGCTGATTAGATTACTATTGCCTATTCATAGATTGTGGCTTATTGAGTATTTATTTCTTCACCTTGTTCATATCAATGTCCATATGTCTAACTTTCTTTTCAAATTCAGGATCATTAGATTAAATTTCTCCGTAATTCACTCTTTTCTTAACTATCATTAAATTATGGTTAATAATCGTGGTACTAAGTAATTTTACCTGATGTTGAAGTAAACATTTTATTTTGATGTGTATTTTAATTGTTACATCATTTTAGTCAATTATATCAATTGGGGTTTTGGGGTTTTGGGGTTTTGGGG